GATTAACCATTGTCAGCTTTGGAAAACAAAAAACACGTGGTTAACCAGCCTCAAAACTGTTTAAAATCCACTTGGGAATATTCTTGTAATATTTTTAATTTCTTCTTTCTTTTCTACTGCGATATGAAAAACCAAAATGAGTTGGGGCTCCTGGTTTTGTGCTGCCTCAGCAGTACTTTGGAGCAGGCTGGGCAAAGGCAGGAGGCAGCCCGAGCCCCAGGCCTGGGCTAGTTGTTCTCAGTAGGAAAATCCATCCCCGGGGTTCAGTGCCTTTTGGATGGAGGCAATTTGCTTTCTTTTGAACCGGTTCCAGGTCACGTGTGAGGAGTTAACAGAGACTGGAGGATGACACATTACTGAATCTGGTTTCCATGTTGGTCCCTTGGGAGAGGTGGCTCCTATGTGGAAATGATCTGCAGATTTCAGTTTGGCTCAACGTGGCTAACACATCTGTCTGTGTCTTAGGTGAAAAAAACAGCTTAAACTGTGAGTGCACACAGCGGGCAGACAATTGGGGGTGGGTGCATGTCTGAAACCGAGCTTTCAAACTCTCCAGCAGAAGCCTGCTCCTTGCTGACTGCGATCCATATGGGAGGGTTGTAAATTTTCATGACGTGTGGAGACTAACAAGTAGTGGCACATCTCAAATCCTCCAATTAACGTCCCAAACCTTCCTATTAATAAACAGGCCTGAGAAAGAACCAGCAATGAGGAGACTGACATATGGTGTGCTTCTGCGTTAGACTGTTTAGATCGGGGAAATCAGAGGTTTGGGGTGCTGGAAAGAAGAGGAAGCCAAAAAGGTGGCTTCCAAAAAGAAGAAGTGATCTCAAAAAGAAGGGAACATGGAAAGAAGGTGACAAAGATCCTGTCAGGAGTACAAATCCTGAAAGTGGGGGTAGATACTGGAGATCAAAGAGCTGCATGGAGAAGAATGCTTGGTGCAGGGCTTTTGGAGAGCCATTCATTATTGCTTGTCTGGGAGGAATTGACATGGGAAGCTGGGGGAGAGGGAAAGCAAGACAATGTATTGAGTTAGCTTCTTCAAACTGTTTCAATTTTTAGGGTAGAACTCTGATTTGCAAAATGTCAAGGATCTTTGGGAATGCTAGGTACCCTAATGTATGAAAAGGAGCAGGCTCCTGTACATACGCAGTTTTCGTAGCAACTTGGAATTCTTTTAAATCAATCCATAACAAGTGCAAAACTCAACCCGCTTCCCCTGCTGAGTGGAAATAACATATTGTTTATCTGCATCTAAGTGTGCCAGTGAAGCTGAACCCAAAGCCCAGCTGAACTGTACAGGAACTGGTTGGAAGACCAGTATTCATTAAGTTCCTGGATGCCAGACCAGTGGGATCACTGGGAAGCAGCAGTGGCATCTTACTGGTTCCTTGGCTTAGCTTCAGCCAGGCTTCACTTGCTGCCTGTGTGTTACGATGGAGTGTTCCTCACAGGTGGTAGGTTTTGCTGGAATCACATTTTTCAAGCAGTTCTTCATACATAGCTGTGGAATAAAGTTATCAAACGCAGCTTTATGAGAGCTGCTAATTAGAGTTTGGATGCTGATGGAAACCCCTCTTGAACCCTGTGTGAGGCTGAATGCTGAAGTGTAACTTGCTGCTGGCAGCCATCCCTCCGAGGGTTTGGCCTTTGATGGAGGTCACAGTGAAATAGACTGCTGTTGCAGAACATTAATATTGCTTAAAAATTACTTGCAGCGCATGCATCTGCAGATTTCAAAATCTTTACAGAAGTGGATATGCCACGTGTTTTCCCCCGCTCCCTCTCTGTGAAAACTGGAAGCAAAGAGATGGAGAAGTTCGCTGGTTGCCCACGTTTCTGCAGTCACCCAGTGGCAAAACCAGCAAGGTAGTCCAGGAGCCTTGAATTGTGGCAGGTTGTTTATTTCACGCCTGAAGCTGAAGCCCTTTTTAGAGGTTATTTTTCAAAATTTCCCTTCTGGTGGGACCTTCTACAGACATCACTCTTAGATCTGTTGTCTTTTTTAATTACTTCTTGACTCTGAGTCGTTTTGGGGTCTGTGACCAGCTCAGTTATGTCTGTGCTTGAGTCTTGGTGCTGTGATTCTCTCCCTGGTACAGCCCCCTCTGTACCCCATGCTTTGCCCAGGCTACCCTCTGTTTTCTGCCCCGACGGCTGCCCTGCAGATGTGAAGAAGCCTTCTCAGTGGTGTCCTACCTGCCAACTCTCACCAGCTCCACTTGGAGCTCTGCCTTCACATTTGCTGTTCCTGCAGCAGCTGAGTTTGCTTTCCAGACCAAACTCATGACAGCTTTCAGGAGACACTGTAGGTGTGCATTTCTGTTTCTTCCCTGTTAACCCGATTCTTGACTTCCTAGACGAAAGAAATAAAGGAGCATTAATCTAGCTGGTTTTTAAGGGAAGGATTGATTTGATGGGTCTCTACAAACTGATCAGAAACAGGGATAATAGAAACAGAAAAATCTCTGAAGTTGGCAAGCTCTTGGATGAAGAACGTGACACAAAATGTGGCACTTCAAAGGTAAACATCAGTCTAGCTGGAGTTTATTGGGAGAGTTCATCAATGATTAGTTTATTTCTGATCTTGTTTATCGCTTTCATTAACAACCTTGGCGTTAAAAAATAGACTGTGTAAATGAAATTTCCTGATGAGACTCCACTGGGAGATAAGTCAGAACTCCGGCTCATCTTAGTGGTGGAATTAAAAGCTCACCTGTCGTCTCCGAACACTTATTTGTGTCTGTGCTTTTTTAATTTCAGTGGTAAAGAAACATTCCTCGCACACCTCCCTTTTTCTTTCATTGGACATATTAAAGGTTTAGTTTGGCCCAACTACTTGAAAAATTTAGACTTTTTTTAGGTGTCTGTCAAATTGGTATTCATTAATTTCCCCTGCCAAAACCCAAATGAATAATGTAACTTGATGCAAAAACTCCAAATGAGGGCTACAGATAATTATTCATGCTCAAGACTTTGGCTATGAATCATTTCTGCTGTGCAGTCTAAGTGCCTATGGAGCACCACCAGTTTCATATTTCTTTGTTTCTGATGTAAATAATTTTCAGCGATATAAAATGTGAGAAGGAACACATTGGGGTTGAACACGGGTAGCTCTATGACTAAAAGAAATGAAAACCTTTAAAACAAGAGTTATAGGGACATCTAAGTGACAATTAGAATCCTTTAAAAATTCATTCAGATTTAGTGAAATGTTGCTGGCAGTCATTCATAAAAGTAATTGCCCTGTGCACATGAAAAATTTAAATGTGGTAATTTAGTAATGAATCTGAGCTGTCAGAAGGCATTTTATGGATAATCAGACATTCCTGCAGGCATAGCAAGGACTGAAGAAAATTGAAAAATAACTTTGTGGAGGCAGGATTATCTGAAATAAGTGTTTTCTCTGGAAGCAAGCAAAGAACCCTGTGACTTTTCGAAAAGTATTGCACTGTAGGTTGACAAGGGCAGCCACTAGAAGCAAATAAAGAATCAATTGTGTCCTTATTATTGATCCAGATTAGTCATTTTAAGTAGCGGTCTTTGAGAAGTGAGTCCTCCTAGATTCCCAGATACTCAGTGTGCAGATGCAGTATCCAGCCCCCAGGAAGGGGGGGCAGGAATTCTCCGTTAGGGCTTGCAAATCACATCGCCAGTTTTGAAAGCAGAAGCTCAGTTCTCCTTTCATGTTACTTGAATGAAAGTGCTGACTGTACTGGAATGAATTTGTATTTCTCCTAGAATAAGGGAGGATATAGCTGGCTCTGCATTCTTGCAGGGCACATTAGGGACGGGCAAACTTGAGACATAGGAAGAATTTAGGAAGAATTACTTTACCGAAAGAGTGGTCAGGCACTGGAACAGCCTGCCCAGGGAGGTGGTTGAGTCACCATCCCTGGAGGTGTTTAAGAAGCGTGTAGATGTAGCACTTCAGGGCATGCTCTATCAGGTGAGATTGTAGGGGGTTTTTTGTGTGTGTATGGTTGGACTTGGTGATCTCATAGGTCCTTTCCAACCATGATGATTCCGTGACATTTTGGAAGTTTAGTCGGAGCCACCGATGCGTAGGAAAGTCAATAAGAGCCATTGCCTTTGGATGTGGGAGCAGTTTACTCCCACTCGGTGCTGGTGTTAAAGACTTGACAGTGGACAACAGCGCTTATAAATCGTTTTTACCCTCCGTCTCTAAATCACTCTGGGGAGAAGATCTCGTGATGTTTCTCTCAGTTGTGTTATTGCTGTTGCTTTTGCTCTTGTCTAGGTATTTCTGGGAGATTTTGAAACCGAAAAGGCTGTTTGGGAAGACAGCTTTTCTGAAGATCTGATCCAGCTGGGGTTGTTGCTCCATTCAAATACACTTTTGCCAAAACTGATTTGCCAGCTGATCTCCTCATAAAGAATATTTGTGGGGGTTTTATCTTCTCCAGTGTTAGATCACTATAAGGAGATGCTCCTGTTTTCTAATTTACAGAGTGATTGTTTAAAAATGCAGATCTTAGATGCTATTTCAAATATTAAAATAAATAGCGCTGGATGTCAACTTTACTTTTTGTTGTTTATGCAGCTGGTATGCCTTTTCCTGATTTTTGTTATTTACTGAGTTTATTGAATGCTAAAAGGGGTCAGCTTAACTCATATTTCTGGTCTGCTTTACTTTATGGTGTAGTGGAAGGAAGTTTTTAAAAGAAAACAAAGATTTGTTTTTTGCAGAACTGAAAATAAAACATATTTCCATTGATCTATGGATTTTTTAAAAAACCTATTTAGGCCTTCTTTATTTGCTACAAAGCTTAAATATGAGCTTAGATGAATGTGACAGGTTCTCTTGAGGGCTGTGAGAATGGATGTAAAATCTTTTGGAAAATTTCTACCATAAAAAATCATTAGATGTAATTAGCAAAATAATATCTCTCATGAGAAATGTTGAGATGTAATACATCAGCTGGCAAGGAGTAGCTAGGAGTGAAGTTTTTCAGTATTGTCTCCTTTTCCCACAGATCCCTCAGAAGATAGATCACCACTTGGAAGGAGCCATGACACTGAGTCTCTGCGCTTACTCCGCACTCTGGAACGGGCCCTGCTCTTTGGTTCTGCCCCTCTGGTAAGTCTCTCCACCCCAGGCAAGACAGTGGAAGATGCTTCTGGGAGAAAAGCACCTTGAAGATAATTCTCTTTCTTCTCACAATGAGTTACCTAAATATCGCTGCTCTAGTGTTTGGCTGGTTTCAGGTTTGCAGAGCTATAAAATATCTGATCATCCCAGAGGTGTGGGAGGAGCTGAAGGACATCTCTTACTTTTGATGAAGCACCCAGGAGAAAGAACAGTGTAACAGAAAGCCTATTTATAAAGGCTGCTTGCCAAATCAAAGCCCAAGTTTTAATTACATCTGTGCACACCGTAGCCATGGTTAGTAAAGATCTAAACGCCGTATCACCTTCCTATTGGACTTGTTAGCATTTTGCCTTTTTTTCTGCAAAACCTGGCCTCTCTTGATGTGATGTCTAACAGCATGGATTGAGGCTGAAAATCAATCAATGATGTGACCTCATTTAAGATAACCTTTTTAAAACTGTGGCAGTTCTGCCCGCTCATGAAGCGTTCGCTGATGGTTACGGAGTGTTTTGTGTCTGTAGACTGCTGGAGTCGGGCAGGAAGACTCGGTACCCAAAGGGGACTGGGCAGTGGGCAGGAGCTCTATGGGAGCACGTGGCAATTGAAGGGCTGCTCTTGGTGTATTCTGTTGTGTCCGGGGTTTGATTTCCACACAGGCTGTCCATTTAGGCAGAATGATCAACGCTAGTGCTTTACAAAGCCAGTTGAACCTCATAAGCAAGGCTTGTCACTCCAACAGAGACTCCAGGGAAGTCCAGCTGGGCTTGAATGCCTGTTTTAGATAATCTTTATCTAGGTCAGGGCTGAAGCTCTTGCTCAGAGCACTGCATGATGCTTGTGCTTTCCTGTCACTGCGGCTGGATTGACAAAGACAGATTTTCCAGTTTCTAGCCCCCAAAAGCTGCAAAACAGCGGTGCCCTTTAGGATTTCTGTTCAGTCTGGCAGCAGCCTCTGCTCCTGTTTCAGCCCATGTACAGGGAGTTCAATAGAGAACTCATTGCTACAGACCTGGGCCTTTCCTTTTTTCACTCTCTTTTGTCACTATTGCGTTGTCTCAGCAGATGCCTCTTTGACCTCTCATTTCACCTCCTTCCCCACTATTCATTTTGATCGGGGCTGAAATCTAGTGCCAATTACTGATGCTTTCTGTCCCGTGGCTTTGCTGTTCAGCCACTGTCATCCGAAAAATTGCCAGGGTAATAGCGAGGGCGCTGGCTTCCTTAAAGCTGTAATTTATTTATTTTTTTTTTTAAGCAAGTAGTCAATGTAGTTTTCAGACTCAATTAGGAATTAAAACATTTATTCTGGAATAAGGGGCAAATTAATGCTTTTCAAAATTGAAGTTGGTTTGTGTTGCTTTCCTCAGAGAAATGCATCTGTTCTGGGTTGGGGTTTTTTTGCCTCCGTTGGCACATTTATTTGTTTGTGTTGCATAGGGAGCTGAGTGTGTTATGAAGCTAAATCTTTCCTACCAAGCAGCAGCTCTGGCTCAGCTTTGGTGGTTATTTAAAATTTCAGAAGAGAATCATCAGCTGCTCCACTTGTACATTCAAACACACAAGGTGATATGCTAATTGGGCTTTCATTAGTGCCTGACTGACGTCACCAGCAGAGCAGAAAGAAAGGGGGCTGAGCAGCTGAAGTACTTTTCCACTGTGGAGCTGGTACTGACGCAGCTATGGACTGTAGCTTTTTTTTTTTGCTTTTTTTTTTTTTTTTTTGGATGACTATATTTAGAAACCTGATTTGGACTCCTACTTCCTGAACTATGAGAAAGCACGCGATGTTTCTAAATGTTTTACAATTTTTGCCGTGGCTGATCTCACGTTATTAAACCTGTGTTGTACAAGGCGCCAGAT